TTCATCCGGACTAATACCATTTTCGTCAAAAACATGACCTATAAATTTGATGCTTCTTTGAAAAAACTTCGATTTGCTCCTATTAAATTTTAATCCTACTTTTTTGGCTCGCTCTAATACTTGCAATAAAACTTTGTCATGTTCCTCGGCCGTCGATGCATGTATGAGGAAATCATCTATATATATTATTAAACCCTTTATATCACCGAATAATTTTACCATTTCGGCATGGAAGATTTCCGGTGCTGCATTAATACCAAACGGTAGACGTAAAAATCGAAAGCGGCCGAAAGGTGTATTGAATGTACAAAGTTTAGAAGAGTTTTCGTTCAAAGGGATCATCCAGAAACCACTATTCGCGTTAAGTGAACTAAAATACCTTGACCCCATCAACTTTTCTTTGCAGTCATCCACATTAGGAAATTGATAATGTGGTCTTAAAATGCCCTTATTCAAATTACGGGGGTTGAGACACAAACGTAACTTTCCGTTGGATTTTTTAACAATAACTATAGAGCTTACCAACTCGGTTGGTTTTGATAATCGTGTGACAACTTTTAAATGTATCATTCTTTGCAGTTCGGCTTTCAAATCATTTTGAATAGTAACAGGAATTTTCCTCGGAGAGTCAACAGCAGGCGTTACTCCTGCCTTCGTTTTAAAACTACATTCATTTTTTAAGAGTCCCAAACCTTCGAAAGCTTCAGAGAACAGTTTGAGATCGACCTTCGTTACAGTGTTCATAGCACTTATTAAACAAAAATCCTAAGCGGTATTTAGACCGATTATATTTTTGCACTTCATATTTAAAACATGAAAAATACATTCAAAAGTTTTATTGTTAAAATTTAAATCAACACTAACAACTCCTAATGTTGGAAGCAACTCTCCACTAAAAGATAAAATTTTCGAGTTTGTCGGTTTGATTAGTTTCTTTAAATTTAATAACCCTGCCGTAGCTATTGAAAAAATGTTTGTTTGAGCACCTGTATCTATTTGGCAAACAACTTTGCAATTATTAATCATTACCTCTATACTCCAGTCTCGTCGTTTTTGTACATCACCGCTTTGCTTATCGTAGTTCATACCTGCATATGTTTCTTGCGCCCCGATGGCCTCACTATTCTGCTGCTTGACCCTTTCGGTCACCTCCGCATTCAGAACGCCAATGAAAAAATCTTCTTCCTCCTCGGTTTCTTGCTGCTCATCCTCATACACATTATTGACGAATTTCGGTTTCGAAGCTGATGGTTGCGACTTTCCGCTACTCGAAGCTTGCTTCTGTTGTTTCGCCTGCCATTTTTTTTAAAACACATTTTCGTAAAGTGCCCTTTATTGTTGCAAATATAACAGGTTACCCCTTCTGCCATCTACTGCACATAGTCGATCGCTGATGTGTCGAATTTCCCGTTGGTTGGTCATTATTTCTCTTGCTCTTGCTTATAGCCCCGATGTAACTAACGACGTTATCTCCGATTTTGCAAACAATTTGCTTTTTCATGTGCCAGTTCCATGGATTTAGCTTTATTCACAGCTCGTTCCAAACTGATATCGCCTTCGCTTAGTAGACGCTCTTTAATTTT